AGAGATGCCCGTTTTGATCAGCTCATGTATTGTATCCTTCCGATGGTTGTCCTCCATGATTCCTTGTGTACCAGCATTTGCTTTCTCAAGAATCCCCTGTCCTTATCTTCAATTCTTTGGCTCCTTTCTTTTGCCATTGGCTGCCGTGTGGTGGGTAGATATCGGGTTGAACCGTTGGTTCTCCCTGCAGGACCCATGCCCATTTGGGGGAGTCCAGCCTGTCATCGAATACCCACCCCCTATAGGCTGGGTCATTAACGTACCACAGGCCTGCTTTTGTTTCACATTCCACCAAATTGGCCTGGATCTGGCCTGGGTTCCCTGCCCTGTCTCTGTTGAGTGGGCAATTTCTGTCTGTGCCTAAGTGACCCTTTCTTCTGCACTTGAAACACCGCTGATTGGTTTTAGTGGAGAGAAAAACAGTCAACTTTTGGCCGTTCGTTTTCTTAAACAGCCAGGTGTCAGGAAACTGTGGAGGGATACCTGATGGGACTTGTACGCAGGCGATCCTCGAATCGTGGTTCGGTGCTAAGAATTTCGGACCCGCTGCCAGCCATTCTATGACTGGGTTGTTTGGGTAGGCTTCTGCGAGTCTGTGTTCAACAAAGCTGTGAAGACTTTCGGCGATGTTGTCAAACTGTATCCAGAAGTGTGTCCGTAACATGGTTTGTCTGTGCCTGGAGGCATCAGGTTGCGGTGCCCTTCTGGGTTTCCAGTTGGTGATCGTTACTACTCCTTTCTTGCATTTCAAGCTGCTGAGAGACATGAGATATCGGGCATAAGCTCTATCAGGGGTGACAATCATGACCGTGTTCCGTGCTCGCTTGTGGTATGTCACGTCCGGCTCTGTGCCTGGGATTTCCTCAAGAGCTCTGAGGGGACCCAGGACTGTTTTTCATTTGGTGACATATCAGTGCATTTCTGGGGGAAATTGAAGAGTACTGCGTGCTTGTTGAAGACTTCTTTGCAGTTTGACTCATCTTCTTCTGGGTATTCCCATATTTCCACGGTCTGATCTTCACTTTTGCCTTGATTCGAGTGCTCGAAATGAGAAAGTCCATTTCCTTTTGGCTCAGGGACTTTGGGGGAGAATCTGCTGTCGAGAAGTCAGTCGAGTTTTGTGAGTTGTCTTGTGCTTGCGGTTGTGTGCCAGTTTGTGGCTGAGTGCATTGCCTGAGCCCGTGGGGGTCGCTGGTTTGCTTGGGCCATCCTTTCCCTTTGCAACTGCGTCCGCGTAAGATGTCGACATGGTGGTATGGCACTACTGTTACGTGTCTTTCGGGTGATGGTAAAGCTTTGTCAGCATCTGTCCTCCTCACCTGGGGAATGAGATTTGCAGGGGGTCCAAGGACCTATTCTGAGATCAATTCTGAGATCCGCACGATGGACTCGGTAGATCAGAGAAAAGGGGCCAGCAATTACCCTCCCCACCTGGGGAGCGTGTTTTGCAGTAGCAATTTAATGGGAATCCAATGGATCGGACAGGAATCTTTTCAGCTGACGAGATTTTGCTAGCATTTATCCTTCACACCTGGGGAGCGGGAAGTGCTATAGCAGGGAGAATTACACGTTCAGCTTGGAGTGGCAGGAAACCAAGGGATCAGATTCGTTCCTCACTTGGGGGACGATGCTTGTATCTGCAAAAGGGACTTTGCAGGGCAGTCAAATGACCTGGAAGTTGGGACGGCGGCGGCAGAATTGGAAATTAATCGAGGGTCTTTATTGTTCTTTAAGGATTAAAGTTTTAACTAGTTGAAGAAATGGGTTGACTCTGAAGGGTAATAAGTTGATAACAATTGGGATATGTTCGTGCTTTTGGAAAGCATAATGAGGATAACAGCTGATAATTAAAAAAATAGGGTTAATGTTACTTAATAATAATGAGTGTAGTAAATTGTTCGTTTGAAATACTCGAAGTTCAGTGGTCTCTAAAAATGGTCCGTTTACCTTTCTGATTAGGGTAGTCGTATGGTTAAAAGGGGACAGTGGTGGGTGGGTCGGGGGTGGTGAGGAGGGGGGTTGCTTGG